CATAAGGACTATATCGTCGGCTACTTGAAGGTGAGTGATGTATTCGCTATTGATGTTAATACCATATCCTTTCCATTCCAGTATCTTGAAAACGTCTTCCAACGCAGAGGTGAAGAGTTTCGGGAATATAACGTTACCCTGTCTTACACCTCTCTGCAGTTGGATAGGTTTCGAACTCTGGTTCTGTACTCGGATAGCCATCGTTGCTCTACTGTACAAACACTTCAACACTTCGATATACCGACAGTCAACTTGGCACTGCTGAAGGGACTGTAGCACCGCCCAAATTTTCACGGAATCAAAGGCTTTCTCATAGTCCACATACACCAGGCAAAGTGGCAGATTGTACTCTTCGGTCTTCTGTACAATCTGCCGCAGGGTATGTATGTGGTCTATGGTACTGAAGCCTTTTCGGAAACCGGCTTGTTCTGGAGGCTGGAAGTCGTCGAGTCTGCGTGCGAGACGATTCGTAATGACTCTCGAAAACAGCACTTAGACGCGGCTCAGAAGGGAAATCGGTCTGTAGTTCATCAAGAGAGCGTTGTCGCCTTTCTTAAAGAACAAGACCACCGCACTTCTGCCCCACGCCTCTGGAGTAGTGCCACCATGGAGGACGAAATCGAAGAGCTTCTGAAGGACTTCAAGTACCGGTTTTCCACCGGCTTTCAGAAGCTCAGCTGTAATTCCATCCTCGCCTGGGGCCCTGCCGTTTTTAAAGTGCTGGAGAGCCATCTAATCTCGCTCAGACTGACGTCCGGGATATCATCGGAATAGTGTCGGATAAGACTTGCTCTTGGATCGTTACTCACACTTGCGTATGGCTCCAACGATGATGTGTACACATAGAACCTCCAATCTCACTCAAAATCTCAGGTGTCCCGGAAACGATGCTGCCACACTCTGTCTTCAGCTTTGACAGTTTGCTCTTTCTGGCGGACAGATCTCTGGCAAAGACTGGAGCCCTGATTCCGCTCGATCACTTCTTTAATACAAGTAGTATTAAAGTTGCGTAAGTCTCGCCGCATGCATTTGGAGATCTGTCTATTCAGTTGCCTGTACGCTGTCAAATCTGTTGACGATTGCAGCCTCATCTCCCGTCTAACAGCCATGAGATTAAGAGTGTGATCGGAGAGTTTTTGTGTTCTTCTGCGGCGGGTCTTGCAGAACTTAGCTCCGTTCGCATGGACAGTTTCCACGAGCTTGTCATTCATATCGTCCACTGCATTGCAATCTTCTAGGCACTGAAAGCGGTTACGTAACTCGAGCTGAAAGGTTTCGGGATTCTGGATTGGAGCACGAGGGGGGACGGAGCGTTGAATTCATTAGACGAGACCTCTCCAACTTAACGTTTAGGTTGAGTGTCCCTCTAACCATTCGGTGATCGCTGCTGGTTTTCACCCTTGCGATTACTGAGACATCACTGAACAGTTGGCATCTGGTCGTCATAACGAAGTCAATCTCATTTTTTGTCGAACCGTCGTTGCTCGACCAGGTCCACCTCCTGTGGGCCCGCTTCTGGAAGAAAGAGTTCATCATAAAGAGTCCCTCTTTCTCCATAAAGTCAGCCAGCTGCTGGCCCCTACGGTTCCATTGCCCTACTCCAAATTTTCCTAACTTCAGGTCACCATTTTTTCTTGTGCCTAGTTTTGCGTTAAAATCTCCCATCAACACCGTGTAGTGCGTTTTGGAGGAATGCATGGCTCTAGAAATATCCTCATACATTTCCTCCACCTCCGCCGAGGTTGGTGCGTAGACCTGTATGACCTTCAGCGAATACCGTTTGGTGATTCTGAGTATCAGGTACGCGACCCTCGTCGATACACTCCTAAACTAAATTTCTGAAATCTTGACAGTTAAATAAGAAATGGTTCTGTTTGCGCATGGGACATAGTACAGGTTTATAACTATCTGTGTGTTTATCTGCTTGTTTCGATGTATTGTGACAAAAGTGTTTTGTTTTGTTTATTGTGATCCGCGTGATTAGTTAAGAACTCCAAAAATTGCTTTAAAGAAGGTGAGCCTATAATAGTGTTGCGGCGCTCTTCCCATTGACGGAATGTGGCTCTATCTAATTTTTTAGGACATAATGTAAATTAATAAGTGTGTCCCAGTGTTCCGTAGGCTGTCCAAGTGTACTTAATGCGCACAAATTTTTATTAGTGACGTCAATAATGTGTCTTAAAGCATAACTTGACTCCTTTTGAGAAGGTTTAAAATTAAATAAAGCATTTAAGCGATTGTTAATTAGCAAACGTTCATTGTCATATCTGTTTGATAGCAATTGCCATGCAATATTGTAATTATTTGCACTAAACTCTAGACTTTGTATAATCACTGATGCACTGCCTTTTAAAGCTGCTCGAAGATAGTGGAATTTATTGATGTCACTAATATTTTTATTAAGATGTATGAGTGATATATAAGTATCTCTAAATTCAAGACAGTGCTGGAAGTCACCGCTAAAGCTGGGTAAATTAATTTTGGGTAGCCTCACAAAATCGTCACTCATCCCGATTCTGTTCTCGTGGCTTGAGGTTGACACGGGTGAAGGCGAACGTCGACGTTGATTGATTCAAGAAGCGTCCGCGCTGTAGCCACCAGTGAGAAGTATATAGAATCGAGTTGTTCTCGATCCGCATACAACTCAGGAGATTCTTCTGATAACGAGTTGAACTCTGTCTGTAGTGTGTCGAAATCACTCTGTAAGGGTTCTATTTTGCATTAACGAAATTCTAATTCATTAACTTGAAGATCACTCAATGACTCACAACTTTTTATGATGTTTAAATAATTATAAAATTGAGTAAGCTTAGCTTTAATGCTACTACGCGCTTTCACAATGTCTCTAAGTCGTTCTTTATTAACTTCACTCATTTTTAGCAATGCAAATTACACAAAAGTAAATAAATTCACAAGCGCTTAACAAAATTACTAATCAAAGCATTGTGACAATTTATAATGAGTAAGCGGTTGAACTAATCGAGCGACATAAAGTGAAACCGGTTATGCGCTCGGTTATGCTGTAAAGCGAAGTATATAATGCGTTGTATATGACTACAATGCAAAATAACAAGCTTCAGAGTATTAGTTACTTGATGCGATAATGGGATGGCTGGTAGTATGGTGTCTTAGCAAGAAATATTGATTAATAAAAAAGCAACACAAAATATGAAGAGATCCCAATGTCCGATCCGAATTGTGCTAATCTAAAAAAGACACGTAAAGGAAAAAAATAAAGGAATTAGAACGAATTCACTCAAATCAAATCCTTTGTCTTAACTTTCGATGTACGTGGCGTGCAGCCTAGATCCAAAGTTCATGTTGTGTAGTTGTTGATTCCTTGTGATATTATTGAATGTATTTTCGTTGATTATTCCTTTTCTTCAAGGCGGCGAAGGACCAATTTTTTTGGTTTTAGGAAACAGGAAATCGGTAGTTAGTTATTATAAAAATTACAAGTTTACACACTTTCGCACTATATAATTATATAACCAACAAACTCCTTTCATACCAACTGTCTCCAAGCATTCAACCATTATTAAGATAAGTTTGATACGAAACAAACACGTAAGGGATAGGAAGAGAGAATAAAAACAGGAATACGGCAGATGTTATTACAGCACTATAATATATATTACAAAGACATTTGGTGTTTATGCTATGGCATAATAATATGTCCTGGAAAGATGAAAACATCTGCCATAACCGGTTGAATAACGCCGCGATCGATATCCATTCATCAACTCATAAAACTACATTTGGTCATTTTATGGCATTATGATATATCCTGCACATCTATGACGCTGGAATCCGTTTCACACAAAAGTGGTAAGTTTCGAAACCTGATTTCGCTTCAGACACCAGATGCACTTACGTCGCGTAGTTCGGTGGCCGGCGGCACGTGAAGCTGAAAAATTGGTAGGCCAGTGAACACTGTTCGTCAAGCGTCTCGACACTTGACGAACAGTGCGCGACAGTGCACGAACGACGCTTGTGTCGCGAATGTGTCGCGAACATGGGTTAATCTCGCGATGATAGCGCGGCACTTGATGGAGGTCTATAATGTCTTGAACTAATTGTAAACGAAAAGACAAATGATGTTTCCGTTCCTTACAAGATTTTTCAAAGTGGATTCTAGAATTAAGTATGGTAACATTTAAAAGTCTCTTGAAGAGCTTCATGTTCCATTTTGCACAACGTTTTCTCTCCAATAAAAAAGGTTCCAGCATTTGATCTTTACGATCAGTTCCACCCATATTCTTATTATAATCAAGAACCAACTGGGGTTTCCACTGCGGCGGCACATGGGGCTTGGATGGTTCCAGCCCTTGCTCAGTGCCTGGTACGTACTGATTAACGAACAACGTAGCTTACAGAGTGACACTAGAGATGGCACATTTTGACGGTTGGGTCGTAGTGTTCCCACACAATCGGTTGGACGTTTCTTCAAAAACCTCTATCAAAATACCCTTTGTCGAGCACTTTCCAAATGAGTTTGAGTACAGTTTTAGTACTCACGTTAAGTGACGATGGAAATCGAGGATCGGGGGGTATTTTCCTTTCCAGTGTATACGAAAAACGACCACATGTATCCCGTAGCAGACTCGCACAATTCTAAAGTTTTTACTCCGAATCGGGCCGCTTTAGTCTTTATATATTGTTTGAATGAGAGATTAACCTTTCCATAAAATTAAGCTCACATCATTACATATTTCCTGTTTAGGGATATAAGCGGATTGAATGCGGGAATTCAAATGATTCATAATAATTGTTTCAATAGGAAAGATAGGGTGAGAATCAGGTATACGTGTTGAGTTATTTACAAAATGAGGAGCGCGGCACAAATTTTGATATCTATGGCGTGAAAACAATTGGCGGAAAATATTGGTCTTCAATAGAAAATTTTCAGAAAAACAAGATGCTATGGAGGGCATACGGATGACCCCCAACATCATCCAAAAAGAAAACAGAATAAATATCTTATGTGTATTTGTTTCGTATCAATTTTGTGCAAAAGTATCATTGATACAATCCAGTTCTACAGCATACCGGTTTGTTTCTGTCGCTATATGAGACATGATGGTCTCGTCCCAATATTGGCGGAATGCCTCATACGCTCTTCCGGACGGCGTGGTTGGCCCTGTTCTTTCCGGAAGAAACATTTCTCTTTCACCTTGAAAGGAGTCCATGGGGCGCCAATCAAAGTGAAAAGAAGTCGCATCTCCTTCGAATAGGGCCGCATGTCCAATGTCATCCGCCACATCATCATTATCTACTTCCATCCTTCTATTTTTGGCCCTCCGCTCTCGAGCTTCTCTATCAGCCACCACTCTCAAAATCCTATTGCGAAAATTCTCAGGCACATGATCATCTGTCACACATACTTGTTCAAGGTGGTCGCCGCGCCGCCACGATGAGGAGGCGTAGACGCCTCCTCGTGCCTGACGCCCACCTGCCGCTGACGTCGCTCGCCCGGAACCGCGCGCCTCGCACAGCACCACCACTCGAACTCGCCACCACCTCTTCGTGATAAAGTTCATGCTGGTCCGCCAACAAGTACTCTTTGCCGTTCTTCTCGTCTAACCGCTCAACGACAACGACCACTTCTGGACGAACATTTCGCCTGCAAGACAAATATAAAAATTATATAACATAATTTAGTTCATACATATTTTATGTAATACTAGCTGTTCCCCGCGACTTCGCCTGCGTATTAATTTATGACCATTAGATTTCATGGAGATGCATATTGTGCAGAACCCTAATTATTCCTTATAACACCAGTTATCTGCCAGTGAAAGTGCCGTTAAAAATACACTATAGAGTAGGGAACGTCTCGGCGACGTGGCATCAAACGGTTGGTGTATTGCATTTTTATACCTGTGATACATTCTAAATTAAATATCCGATTTAAATCAATTACTGCTACATAAATACCTTTAATGATAAAACTATCTGTTCAAATAAGAATTAATACTATGAAACTAACCAACTAACCAACCTAGCTACCATGGCTCCCATAAACTATTAAATATAACATAAATGTATGTAGTACAATAATTATATACAAATTAATTATATAAAATCAAAGATGAAAATAGTAACTAGTTACAACAGTTACTAGACTCCAAAGAGTCGGTATAATTCCTTCATGGGCAACGTAGGTATATGCTTTTACAACAAAGTCCCAGAAAATATAAGACCTTATCAATCAGTTTAAATTTTTAGTAAGCAAAATTTGTTTAGGCTAATATTTCCAATATGGACCATCGATTTCAAAGCCCATATTTTTTTGTAGATAGTACTCACTAAAAGAAAGCGTTTTGCAAAGTTTTAGGTTGCGGAAACTTACGGTTCATGAGATATATTTTTTAAACTTTTCATACAAATTGGTAAATAACACGCAATTACAAAATAAATTTGACAAATGATTGATGTTAAACGTCAGTTAGTGTAGGGTTCCGAATATTTTGAAAGTATCGATACCTACTCGATACCAAGTATCGTATCAAAAGTATCAATACTACTTGGTATCGAGTACATTTCGTTAATTTTCTAATGACAAGCTCGTGGAAACTGTCCATGCGGTCGGAGCTAAGTTCTGCAAGACCCGCCGTAGAAGAACACAAAAACTCTCCGATCACACTCTTAATCTCATGGCTGTTAGACGGGAGATGAGGCTTGTGACCGGTGAGGAAGGAAAAGGGGAGATCTCCCGCCGGGCAAGGTGTTCTGCCCGGGGAGCGGCCGACACTCCGTGTGATAATTCGGAGATGTTCTATATATGCCGTTTATGATTCGGAATGTTGATAGTGTGATTTAGGCTTCGGTGTATTTCGCTTGTGGCGCGACGACAGCGCTGCCACATCAACCCCCTGCTCAGACCGGAGGTCGATAGTGCAGTCTCATTGTCGACGAATGTGCAAGTGCCACCAGATTGCCTTGTAGTCTGCGGTGAGTCGAGAAGAAGGCAAGTAATCTGCGAGAGTGCCGTGAAGCAGAGGCGAGCAGTAAGGCTCAGAGCCGTGCCGAACACTGTATAGCGTAGAGAGTAGCTTGAAGGAACAGGAAGCATTATTATTCCAGTGCTGCGATGAACCTTGTGAAGCTAGAATGGCTTGCAGGATATGAAGACTGCAGACGATATCTGCTCGGTAGCGAAAGGGTGAGGTATTCTATGACGATGATGAAGCTTGAAGTTTCCGAAGTTTGTTCGTTGCGTATTCAGATCACGTTGGGTGGTCACTACTGTGACCGTGAAAGGAAAATGGGAGATCTCCCGCCGGGCAAGGTGTTCTGCCCGGGGAGCACATCACCCCCCATATCGTCGGGGTCACCACTGTGGCCGTAGAAAGAAAAGGGGAGATCTCCCGCCGGGCAAGGTGTTCTGCCCGGGGAGCGGCCAACACTCCATGTGATAGTTCGGAGAAGTTCTATATATACTGTTTATGATTCGGAATGTTGATAGCGCGATTTAGGCTTCGGTGTGTTTTCGCTTGTGGCGCGACGACAGCGCCGCTACAGGCTGCAATCGTCAACAGATTTGACAGCATACAGGTAACTGAACAGACAGATCTCCAAATACATGCGGCGAGACTTACGCAACCTTAATACTGCTCGTATTAAAGAAGCGATCGAGCGGAACCAGGGCGTCAAAGTCTTTACCAGAGATCTGTCTGCCGGAAAGAGCCAACTGTCAAAGCTGAAGACTGAGTGTCGCAACATCGTTTCCGGGACACCTGAGATTCTGAGTGAGATCGGAGGTTCTATGGGCAACTGTACACATTATCGCTGGAGCCATACGCAAGTGTGAGTAAAGATCCAAGAACAAGTCTTATCTGACACTATTCCGATGATATCCCAGACGACAGTCTGAGCGAGATTAGAATGGCTCTCCACCACCTTAAAAACGGCAAGGCCCCGGGCGAGGATGGAATTACACGGAGCTTCTGAAAGCGGGTGGAACACCGGTACTTGAAGTCCTTCAGAAGCTCTTCAATTCCGTCCTCCATGGTGGCACTACTCCGGAGGCGTGAAGCAGAAGCGCGGTGGTCTTGTTCTTTAAGAAAGGAAACGACAACACTCTCTTGAAAAACTACAGACCGATTTCCCTTCTGCGCCGCGTTTACGTGCTGTTTTCGAGAGTCACTACGAATCGTCTCGCACGCAGACGCGACGACTTCCAGCCTCCCGAACAAGCCGGTTTCCGAAAAGGCTTCAGTACCATAGACCACATACATACCCTGCGGCAGATTGTACAGAAGACCGAAGAGTACAATCTGCCACTTTGCCTGGCATATGTGGACTATAAGAAAGCCTTTGATTCCGTCGAAATTCGGGCGGTGCTACAGTCCCTTCAGGGGTGCCAAGTTGACTGTCGGTATATCGAAGTGCTGAAGTGTTTGTACAGTAGGGCTACGATGGCTATCCGAGTACAGAACCAGAGATTTAAACCTATCCAACTGCAAAGAGGTGTAAAACAGGGTGATGTTATATCTCCGAAACTCTTCACCGCTGCGTTGGAAGACGTTTTGAAGCTACTGGACTGGAAAGGATACTTTATTAACATCAATGGCGAGTACATCACTCACCTTCGATTTGCCGACGATATAGTCCTTATGGCAGAATCGCTGGAGGACCTTAGCACTATGCTCAATGACCTCAATGGTGTCTCCCAACGGATAGGTCTTAAGATGAACATGGACAAAACAAAGATCATGTTTAATATCCATGTCACACCTATGCCGGTAGTTGTTGGGAGCACTATTGTTCGAGTACGTTTACCTGGGACAAATAGTCCGACTAGGTAATTCCAACTTCGAACGAGAGGTCAATCGGCGGATTCAACTCGGCTGGGCAGCGTTCGGGAAATTACGACACATCTTCTCGTCAGGCTCTCCTCGCCTCAATCTCTGAAAACTAAAGTGTATAACCAGTGCGTGTTGCCAGTGATGACTTACGGTTCTGAGACGTGGTCCTTCACTGCTGGCCATATGAGGAGCGCTCAGCGAGCTATAGAGAGGGCTATGTTCGGAGTTTCTCTGCGTGATATACTCAGAAATGAGGATATCCGCAGTAAAACCAGAGTGACCAACATAGACCAACGAATTAGTAAGCTAAAGTGGCAATGGGCCGGCCATATAGCTCGAAGAAACGATAACCGATGGGGAAGAAAGGTTCTCGAGTGGCAGTCTCGTACCGGTAGGCGTAGTGTAGAGCAACTCCACACTAGGTGGAGTGACGACCTGGTAAGAACATGCAGGAAGTCGATGGATGCAGGTGGCTCAGGACCGTGCTTTGTGGTATTACTTGGGGGAGGCCTATGTTCAGCAGTGGACTTGTGAAGGGATGTAATGATGATGATGATGATGATGACATTACGTATTCTACGTTTAAAGTGAAAAAATTGTAAATTCATTTCTATTATAAAATTGACTTTCAATAATTATTGTTTATAATCTACATTGAATAAAAAATTTCTGTTTCTGTTTCTATGGAACAAAAAGATGCCCCATTTTTTACCTACTTTTATTAATGTCTTGCCAATAGAATTACAAAAAACATACGGTAAATCAAAACGTGTATTTTAATATGATATGTATATACATGTATATGTACATGTACATATATGTATAAAAAAAATATATATATATATATGTACATATACATACATATATATTTATACAGATGAAGCTAAAGAAGTTTTACTTCAGTCATGTGGTCAGTCGTTTTTTTCTGTAATAACACTGCTAATATTACCGTACGCAGAAATTATCTGTAATTAAACTTTATTTAAAAATAATATGCGGAAAGAAGATTTGGAGGCGATACGTCAAGACATTTCGTCTATGTTACGACGAAGTTCAGTGCCTAAACCTAATCTACCCTAAAACGAATTAATAGTGTTAAATAACCTAGGCAATAAATTAGAACGCATAAAACGCATAAAAGAGAAACACTACGGTAGTTATTAATACATCTGATTATAATTTTAAAATCCAAGAACTTTTGTCAGATGTAAGCACTTATAAAATGTAAGAAACGACCAAACAAGTAACACACATAAAACAACTATATTATAGTAACAACATAAGGAAACACTCCGAAAATATTTAATAAAATATACTAAGAAAATATACTAATAAATCTGGACGTAAATTCGATAATACCGACATGTACCAAACCAACGAAGTTGTATAGTTTGCTAATATACACAAGCCCAATGCCCTAATACATCCCGTAGTGAGCCAAATCGATTTACCAATTTGAGATTGGCTCAACTCTTAGCAAAAATGCTCTCACAACTTAGGGAATAAACCGGAGCACACAAAAAAGAATCCTGTTATTTTGTCAGCGAGATTAAAAACCTACACCTGCCAGACAATAAAACTATGGTCAGTTTTGATGTGCAGTCACTGTTCACATGCTTACCAGTTGAAGACTGCATCTCTGTTGTAACTGAAGGTTGGAAGAAAACAACATGCCCGTAGAATATGCAGTATTACTCAAACACTGCCTTACGTCTGAAACGGCAAAGATT